GGAGGCGAGGCGCCGGGAGACTCCCGGGGGCGGGGCGGGTGCTGCCAGGAAAGGCCTGCAGCGGGGACTGCCCACTTGCCCTTCATCTCCTCCCCGGCCCGGCCACTTCCGCGGGTGCCTGGTCATTCATTTACGCGAGGCCTCCGTGCGCCCACCCTTAGCCACGATGGCAGCGCCTGGAGGACCCAGGGAACCTCCTAGGCTGGGGGGCGGGGGGGCATCCCGCTGACCTCAGTACCAAGGGCACTGGCCTCGCCCCTTGCCCCCTGTCCCCACCCGGCTCAGAACCCTCCTGTGCGCCCTGTTCTTGGAACAGAGCCTGGGCCCTGGATGGCCCACGAGGCCCTGCTGTGCCCTGGCTGACCTCGCCATCTTCCTCCACTCACCACTCACTCTCCTGCTCTTTCTGCTGGAGCGGCCCCCCCTCCCCTCCAACTTTCTGACCTAATCCAACCTTTTCTTGCTGAGACCTTTGCCCTTACCTTCCTCTCTATCTGGGACACTCTTCCCCAACTTGGTCTTGAAATATCCAGCTCCTCTGTCAGGTCTCAGCTTCAGTCAGGTCTCAGCTTCAGTGTCACCTCCTCCCAGAGGCCTTCTCTAATCTCCTTACCCTGTTTATTTCCGTGTCGATCACAATCTGATTCCCGCCTCCCCCCCCACTCCCCCACCCCCTTATTAAAGTTGTCTAATTACCAGGGAGAAACGTACACGAAGAGAGGGACTGTGTTTAGCTAATTCACTGGCTGAATCCCAGTTTCTGGGACAGTGGCTGGTACACAGTAGGAGCTCAATAAATGCTTGTCAGATAAATGAATAGAAATATGGGGGACCTGGGAGTATGAAGGACAAATAGAACCAAATGAGCAGAGAGGGGGATTTGGGAGTATCAGAGAAGACTTCCCAGAGAAAGGTTTGTTTTTTTTATATTTTATTGATTTTTTACAGAGAGGAAGGGAGAGGGATAGAGAGTTAGAAACATCAATGAGAGAGAAACATCAATCAGCTGCCTCCTGCACACTCCCTACTGGGGATGTGCCCGCAACCAAGGTACATGCCCTTGACTGGAATCGAACCTGGGACCCTTCAGTCCATAGGCCGACGCTCTACCCACTGAGCCAAACCAGTCAGGGCGAGAAAGGTGTTTTTTTTTTAAAAAAATATTTTTTATTGATTTCAGAGAGAGGAAGGGAGAGGGAGAAACATCAATGATGAAAGAGAATCATTTATTGGCTGTCTCCTGCACGTCCCCTCCTGGGGATCGATGCATGTGCCCTGACCGGGAATCGAACCCTGACTTCCTGGTTCATAGGTCGACACTCAACCACTGAGCCATTCTGGCCAGGCAAGAAGGGGATTTTTAAGCTGGGTGCTGAAGGATATGTAGGAGTTCACCAGGAGGACAGAGGAAGCAGCATGTAAAAGGATCACCTACTTTGTGATTCCTCATCCTCGGATCCTGTAAAACAAACCCTGTGCTAACCCGCGTCCACTGTGTTGACTTTTAGCCGAGGAGATGGCCCTGAGGCTCAGCCGGGCAGTGGCAGGTGGGGATGAGCAGGTGGCTATGGAGTGTGCCACCTGGCTGGCAGAGCAACGGGTACCCCTGCGGGTGCAGCTGAAGCCTGCGGTCTCCCCAACACAGGACATCAGGTGAGGAGGGCATGGCTGGCCAGGGACATAGGGCTTGCTGCACCCTCGTGGGCCATAATGTATTCTTGCCAATAGAACAGTTATTGTTTTCCCTCTTCCACAGAATGTTTTATACCTATTATGCCAAACAGCATTTTATTTTTATTTTTTTAATATATTTTTATTGATTTCAGAGAGGAAGAGAGGGAGAGAGAGATAGAAACATCAGTGATGAGAGAGAATCATTGATTGGCTGCCTCCTGCACGCCTCCTCCTGGGGATCGAGCCCACAACCCGGGCATGTGCCCTGACCAGGAATTGAACCGTGAGCTCCTGGTTCATAAGTCGATGCTCAGCCACTAAGCCATGCTGGCCAGGCTATTCTTAGTTCTTATATTTCAAAAACTTTTCGTGTGGGAAAGTGGATGTTAAACGTTTGAAGTCTTTACATGTCTAAAAATTTCTATATTTTGCCCTCACGTCATTGATGGTTGGGTGTTGAAAATCATTATCCTGAGGAATTTTGAGAGTATTTTCTGGAGTATTTTAAAGCAAATCTCAGATATTATTTTATTCCTGAATAATTTGATATCTTTTAAAAAGTAAGGACTTAAAAATAACCTCAAAGCCATTTTCACAAATTACTAATTCCTTTAAATCCCCTAATACTCTGTTTATATTCAAATTTCCCTAATTATCTTATTACTGTTTTTTATACTTGGTTTGTTCCAATCAGGAACAAAATGAGATCTACACATACCATTTCTTAATATTGTCTAAGCCTGTTTTATTCTCCTGTATTTTTATGCCATTAATTTTTTTTTAAAGAAAATTGGTCTTTGACTTTTAGAAATTTCCTACATTCTGGATTTATTAATTGCCTCCTCAGGGTGTCATTTAGTATCGCCCGTTTTTCTTGTGAACTCGTAGTTGGATCTAACGGCTAGGTTATTCCAGAGTCACTTTGTAAATTTTCAGGAATTCTTCCTCATTTTATGATTGCTTCTGGCTGTTCTTCCTTTATGGATGCAGTGTTCTCCCAAATCTCTCTGAAGATATGAAGTAGACTTTACTGTTACTGTTATTTGTTATTGTTTTGTCCCCTAATTTATCTGGTTCTTCTGGCCTCATTTCTGGTTTTTCATCTTAGTCCCCCCCTTTTTTTATTGTTTTGTTGTTAATATTTTTCCACTGATTTTTAGAGAGAGTAGAAGGAAGAGGGGGTGAGACAGAGAGAAACATTGATGTGATAGAGAAACATCAATTGGTTGCTTCTTGCATCCCCCCACCCCCCACCAGGGCAGGGGACCGAGGTGCGTGCCCTCGACTGGAATCAAACCCAGGACCCTTCAGTCCTCAGGCCAACGCTCTATCCGCTGAGCCAAACGGGCTCCGGCTTAGCTTTCCCTTTTTATGCTTTTGGTCTTCCAAAGACGTTTTGGGATCCTTGAAAAGGATGTGTTTAAAACCATTTCTCTGGAATTAGACTGTTTGGATTGAAATCCTGCCTCTAACAGTTATAAATTGCTTACTTGGCAAAGTCACGGTAACCTGTCTGGGCTTGTGTTTTGTTTTGTTATTTTATACATACGTGTTTTTTTAAAAATATATTTTTATTGATTTCAGAGAGGAAGGAAAAGGGAGAGAGAGAGAGAAACATCAATGATGAGAGAGAATCATTGATTGGCTGCCTCCTGCAAGCCCCCCACTGGGGATCGAGCCCACAACCTGGGCATGTGCCCTTGGCCGGCATCGAACCTGGGACCTTTCAGTTCGCAGGCCGACGCTCTATCCACTGAGCCAAACCAGCTAGAGCTGGGCTCGTGTTTGTATCTGTAAATTAGGGATAACAACAGTACCTGCCGATGGGTATGTTGAGAGGATTAAGTGAGTTAATGCAGGTCAAGCGCTTTGCAGAATCTGGGCATTGGTAAATAACTGGGTGCCTTGTTAGGGAGAGAATGATAGAAGAGGTTGGAGAGGTAGTGGGGCAGTCACAGAGGCCCTGTGTGCTCGGTGAGGGGGTTTATTCCAGGAGCACTGTGCAGCCATCGCAGGGGCTGAGCAGTGGGCTCTGACAAAGGAAGCACAGGGGTGTGAGATTCCAGGAGCGGCCCCTGACACAGCCGGGGGATGGTGTGGGAGGGGCGTGTGTGTGTGTGTGTGTGTGTGTGTGTGTGTGTGCATGTCATGCACAGGTGTACAAACGTGTCCATGCGGATAGCTGGCGGCTGAGGTGGGACCTGCAGCCCGAGCCCGTGTTACTCCCCAGTTCTCCTCTGCAGGCTGTGGGTGAGTGTGGAGGACGCTCAGATGCACACTGTCACCATCTGGCTCACGGTGCGACCTGACATGACCGTGGCTTCCCTCAAGGACATGGTGAGTGAGGAGGCTGCGGGGAGGCATCAGGGCGCAGGCTTCCCACTTGGCTCTGACTCTCCCTGGTCCCCTCCCCACTCCCCTAGGTGTTCCTGGACTATGGCTTCCCGCCAGCGCTGCAGCAGTGGGTGATTGGGCAGCGGTTGGCCCGGGACCAGGAGACGCTGCACTCGCATGGCGTGCGGCGGGACGGTGACCCGGCCTACCTCTACCTGCTGTCAGCCTGCAACACCTCCCTCAACCCCCAGGAGCTGCAGCGGCAGCGCCAGCTGCGGATGCTGGAAGGTGGGGCTCCGCTCCTGAGTAACAGGGCCCTCGCCGGAGGCCCCGGGGCTCGAGGGAGCAGAGCCCCTGGGCTTTCGGGCAGGTCACCTGGAGGATCCTCCCATGATGGGGGAGAGAGGACAAAGGATGCCCCGGGAGGGAGTCCTTTCGGGATCCATTTTGGGGACAGCAGCCCCGGGGAGAGGGGCTGGGTCCAGCCCTGGCTCTGGCGTTTATCAGCTGGGTGGTCTTGGCAAGACCCTTCCTGTCTTTGCTCATTACTTTTCTAACTCTGTAAATTAGATAATAATTGCTAGTGTTTAAATTTTTTACTTCATATTTTATTTATCTATTTAGTTTTTTGGGTTTTTTTTGTTTGTTTTTGTTAATCCTCACCCGAGGATATTTTCCCATTGATCTTCTAGAGAGAGTGGAAGAGAGAGGGAAAGACAGAGAGAAACATCAGTGTGAGAGAAACACATCGATTGGTTGCCTCCTGCACGAACCCTGACCAGGGTCCAGGCAGGGGAGGAGCCTGCAACCGAGGTACATGCCCTTGACCGGAATCCGACCCTGGACCCTTTGGTCCTCAGGCCAATGCTCTATCCACTGAGCCAAACCGGCTAGGGCTGCTTTATACTTTTGAATATGTCGGACCTACAGAAAAGTTACAAAATTGTATAAATAATTGTATAACAGATTCCCATATTTGTTCTGCTTTATCATCTTTCTATAACATTATTTATAACAATTATTGGTATGGGTGTAAATTATTTTTTTCTGAACTGTTTTGAGGGTAAGTTGCAGACATGATAGCCCTCTCCCACAAATACTTCTGTGTGTGTTTCCTTAAAAAAAAAGAGACTCATTTTCTTGTATTACCACACACAGCTACCAAATTTATTTATTTATTTATTATTATTTTTTTAAATATATTTTTATTGATTTTTTACAGAGAGGAAGGGAGAGAGATAGTTAGAATCATCGATGAGAGAGAAACATCGACCAGCTGCCTCTTGCACATCTCCCACTGGGCATGTGCCCACAACCCAGGTACATGCCCTTGACCGGAATCAAACCTGGGACCTTTCAGTCCGCAGGCCAATGCTCTATCCACTGAGCCAAACCGGTTTCGGCCAGCTATCAAATTGAGAAAGTTATCATTGATAGGGCACTTCCATGTACTAGCTAGAGGCCCGATGCACGAAAATTCATGCAAAAATAGGCCTTCCCTTGGCTGTCGGCACCAGCTTCCCTTCGGCACCTGGGACCTGGGCTTCCCTCCTCTGGCTGCCCACAGGCATCTGGGACCTGGGCTGGCTTCCCTCCAGCCCCGGCTTTGTCAGGCAGGACATCTGGAATGACGTCCGGAAGAGGTCTGGTCTAATTAGCGTATTACCCTTTTATTAGTATAGATGTCCTTTATAACAAAGGCCCTGGCATTCAGCTGTCCTCTCCGCCCCTTCAGTCCTAGGTCTGCTCTGTCTTCCCTTGACCCTCCTGATATTGACGTGTTAAGAGTCCAGTTTTGTTTTTTCATCAAGTGTCTCATGAAGGGGTCGGAGTCAGTATTTTGGCAGGTCCAGCTCAGGAGTGCTGTTTGTCCCTCAAGGTGCCTCACTGCAGGAGCACAAGAGGCCGGTTGTGAGGCAGGATTTTTAAGCCCCAGGACACGGGCACTCATGGGTGGAGGAGGGGCTCTGACCCTGTGGGCACCAGGACTCTCAGCCAGATCTGGGTCCACCTGGTAGGACCAAGCTGGAGGCTCCTCCAGGGAGGAGGGAGAGGAGGGCGTGGGGTGCAGGGTGGGGTCCTGGCTGGCTGCGGGGGTGGGTGAAATTGGCTGCATGGATCCACCAACTTCTAACCCTCTTTCCCAGATCTGGGCTTCAAGGACCTCATGCTGCAGCCCAGGGGCCCACAGGAGCCGGCACTTCCGAAGCCTGGGGCCCCCCAGGAGCCAGGTCAGGGGCCTGACCCCATTCCTGAGCCCCCACTGGTAAGCTGCCCCCTGGTCCCTGACTCACCCTGCCTGGCCCCTCAACGTGCTGAGCTCAATGCCCCTCTGTCCCCAGGTGGGCTGGCAGTGCCCTGGCTGTACCTTCATCAATAAGCCCACACGGCCCGGCTGTGAGATGTGCTGCCGGGCGAGGCCCGAGACCTACCAGGTCCCCCCCACGTACCAGCCGGACGCAGAGGAGCGAGCGCGCCTGGCCAGCGAGGAGGAGGCGCTGCGCCAGTACCAGCAGGTGGGCAGGGGTGTCCCCAGGCAGACGCTTGCGGAAGGGACCGGGAGGCGGAGGCCAGGAAGGGAGGCCCTCCACACCCTGCTCCTCCCCCTCCTGGACTGACCCCTGCACTTGTCTGACCCTCCCTCTCCTGGGCCCAGCCAGGCTCTCATGTCCTGCCCCCTGTGGGTGGTGGTTCCGCCCCTCGCTTTGACATACACACCGGTTGTGCATACAAGTGTGCCTGGTTGGGATTCCAACATCCTGGCTGCGACCCTGACCATGTCCCACCTGCCACCCCTCGTCCACTTGTGACTTCACCTTGGGTCCTGCTGTTCCTGTCCACCCTGCCTCTCTGGCCCTATCCCACCCCTGACTTCCTGTGACCCCAGGACTCAGCCCCTCCCTGCTCCCTGGGAGGCTGGCCCCACCTTCTGCCCGCCCCTCTTGTAGTCCCGTCCTGTCCGTCCTGTCCGTGCTGATCACACAGATATCTGACCCTGATGTCCCCATTCCGATCGGATGCCCCATCCTCCACCTCGCTCCTTTGGACCCAGAGCTGCCCTTACCCACCCAGCCATGACCGCCCCCCTGGTCCATCTGCAACACTGGCCGGATTCCTCCTCTCTCCCGCCTTGCTCTGCTCCATAACATCACTTCCCCTTCCCATACCCTGACTACTCTGTGACCTTACCCTGCCCCACCTCCAGCCCTGGGCCCGCCTGCTCAGCTTCGCAGAAATGTGAGCCCTGGTGCCTCTGATCGCCTCCTCAGACCCTGGCCTTTCCTTACCACCATGGCTCCCTGGCTTGGCTTGACTCCTGATTGCAGCCCCAACTTGCCCCTGCCTGGCCTTCCTCCTGCCCCTGGTTCTCTGCCTGGCCCCGCTCCGAGCTTCACTCTTCCCAGCAGCTCTCGCTCACGCCCACTGTCCAGCCACGGCCACCCCGACCTGGGAGTCCTGACTCTCCCAGCCTTGTCCCCTCTCTGGGATCTGACCAGGACCCTTGTCCTGCCCCCTTCCTGGTCCGACCCATCCCTGAGACCCTGACCTGCCCACGGCCCCGCCCCTGTGCCCAGCGGAAGCAGCAGCAGCAGGAGGGGAACTACCTGCAGCACGTCCAGCTGGACCAGAGGAGCCTGGTGCTGAACACCGAGCCCGCCGAGTGCCCCGTGTGCTACTCGGTGCTGGCGCCCGGCGAGGCCGTGGTGCTGCGGGAGTGTCTGCACGCCTTCTGCAGGTGCGGGCCCCACCCCCGCCAAGCAGCATGGGTCCCGGCCACCAGTTAACCAGGCAGAAAGGGGGTGGGTCCTGTGCTCTCACATCTCCTTGGACACCCACAAAATCCTGTCAGGCATTGTCTCCCCATTCGCGGGGAGAATGTGAGGTACAGAGAGGCCAGCAACTTGCTCAGTGCCACACGGCTCAGGCATTCTGGCTCCAGAGCCCGTGCCCCTCACTCCTCCTACCCAGGCCCAGGCGGGGCATTGAGGCCCTAGCCCTGGCCACCTGAGCCAACCTTGCCCTGCACCTGGCTGGTGGGCAGGCTCCTCCTCTCCCGGCCCCTCCATCCTGACATTTGGTGAGCAGCCCCCGGGTGCCAGGGACTGTGCCAGGCCCAGGAGGGAGCAAACAGTTCAGTACTGCCTTCTGGGGCGTCATCCCAGTGGGGAGGCCGATTAGTCACATAATCATGGGTTAACTGTAACTGTGACATGCCAAGCACCAGCGGGTTATGATAACAGGGCCCTGCTCCAGCAGGGGGCCAGGGAGCCCTGGAGGTGGCACTGGCGTGGGCATGTGCCTGGCTTCCACAGGAAAGGGGTCAGTGTGGCTGGAGCAGACGGATGGACAGAGAGGTGTTAGGGAGGGCAAGTCATGGGGTGCTTAGGAGCACAGTTAAGAGTTTGCATTTGTTCTGAGCCTGAGCAGGACGGGATGGGAGCCACTGGGGAGGAGGGTGGGGGACACGGAGCCCAGGAGGCTCCCGCTGTCTTCCAGGTGAGTGAGACGGAGACCTGGACCAGAGCAGTGGGGTGGGCAGGCGTTGAGGCCATCGTGACGGGTTGGTGGGACGGAAGGGAGACATTGAGGAGAAACCCACCTGGGGACAGGCTCACCCTGTGAGGGTGGGGTCCCGGTGGGTGGGGTTCAGATGACCCTCACCTCCACTCCATCCCTCTCCCAGGGAGTGTCTGCAGGGCACCATCCGCAACAGCCAGGAGGCAGAGGTCGCCTGCCCCTTCATTGACAACACCTACTCGTGCTCGGGCAAGCTGCTGGAGAGGGAGATCCGGGCGGTAAGCCTGGGGGTGGGGAGGGGCACACTCGTCCCGGGGAGCTGGGCCCCGAGCTGGCAGGTGGGAGCTGGCTCAGGGTGCTGGTCTTGGGCAGCAGACATTTATCAAGAGCCTTCTCTGTGTGGGATGCTGCGGGCCCAAGTGGTCAACAGGACAGGAACTGGGGGAGGTAGCTGGTCAAGAAACCCCCTTGTGAAGGAAAGACAGCCAAGCAGGTAGCGGGCCTGGGTGACCTCCAGTCAGATACTCGGCCTCTGTGAGCCTCAGTGTTCTCATCTCAGTGCAGGGCAGTTAGAGTTACTTTCCATTTCAAGGTTGTGAAGGGTTTGTGTAAAGAATCGAGAGTAGCGCTTGACGCGTGGTAAGTCCTTATCAGTTACCTTGTGCTGTGTAACAGGTCATTCAGACTTGGTGGCTTAAAACAGCCACCGTTTATTTAGCTCATGAATCTGTCACTTCGTAATTTCGCTTCGGCTTATCTGGCGAGTCTTCTGGTGCAGGTTGGGCCTGGCTGACCTCATCTGGGCTTAGCTGATGGTCACTGCCCTGTCTTTCCACTTTGGTCTCCCATCTGCCAGTGGGCTGGCCGGGCTCTCGCGTGGTAGGCTCTCAGAGTTCCCGAGCAGCCAGCGGGGGCCCAGCGCAGGAGTGCTTTTCAGGTCTGCTCCTTTCACACTTGCTGCTCTTCCCCTGGCTAAAGCAAGTCACAGGCTCAAGCCCAGATTCTGTGCAGGAGGGGACCGCCCATGAGCCTGGAGTCAGGGAGACATGAGCAAATTGGGGCCATTCCTCCAGCATCTATCACAGTGCTGTCTGTCACAGAGCTGTCTGTGTGTGCACGTGTGTGTGTGTGTGTGTGTGCACACGCACGCACGCACGCACGCACGCTATTGCTGTTAATGCTATTATCAAGTTCTCTCCCTGACTGCTATTGATCTCTCCCTCCTCTGGACCTCCATTTCCCCATCTGTAAAGTGGACTGTTGGGCTTGATTTGAGGTTTTTAAACTGCTGGGCAGTGGCCTTCCCAGAACTGGGCATCTTCGGATACCCAGGCAAAAACGTGAGGCATGGTGGCTGAGGTCCAAATGGGGGACCCCACAGGCACATACACCAGACCCTGTTTCTCCCCGTCGCTCCTGCCTCTCCTGTGACCCTGCGTCTGAGAACCCCCTGACTTCACCAAGCATTTCGTGGAGCCCAGGGAGTTCTGCCTCAAGGGCAAGAGGGCAGACAGAAGGGTGGAATTGAGAACTCCCACCATTAACCCCACGAGCAGCCCCATTTTCATCTCCTTCCTCTGTGGGGTATCTGGGAAGGGAACCTCCAGAAGGTGCTGAGGCCTCCTCTCCGGGGCCTGGAGAGTCAGCCCATGTGACCTGGTAGCCGCAGTCGTTGCCCGACCCCCCCATCCCAGCAGATCCCTGATTGCATATTTCTCCTGTTAATCTCGGTGTCTGGGCAGGCATGATATTTTTCCTTTTTAAAATCAACTTCATTAAGGTATACTTTGCACACAATAAAATGCAGTTATTGTAAGTGTACTGTTGGGTGAATTTTGACAAATGTCTCATGTAACCACCACCCCAATCAAGATATAGAACGTAGGCATGATTTTTATTGATTTCAGAGAGGAAGGGAGAGGGAGAGAGAGAAAAACATCAATATGAGAGAGAATCATTGATTGGCTGCCTCCTGCATGCCCCCTACTGGGAATCGAGTTTGCAGCCTGGGCATGTGCCCTGACCAGGAATTGAACCGTGAGCTCCTGGTTCATGGGTCAATCCTAACCACTGAGCCATGCTGGCCAGGCATGATTTTTACTAGTATAACCAGCATAGATACAATAGCCTTCGCTATTTTTTTATTTTATTTATTTTTTGGTTAATCCTCATTTGAGGATATTTTTTCCATTGATCTTTATTTTTTTATTATTTGAAGTATTACAGATAGTAGTACATATGTCTTCTATTGATTTTTAGAGAGAGTAGAAGGGAGGGGGAGAGACAGAGAGATACAGTGATGTGAAAGAGACTTATCAACTGGTTGCCTCCTGCCCCTGCCCCTGCCCCGACTAGGGATTGAGCCTGTAACCGAGGTAAATACCCTTGACGGGAATCGAACCTGAGATCCTTCAATCTGTGGGCCAACGCTCTGACCACTGAGCAAAACTGGCGAGGGCAGCCTTTGCTGTTGTGCTACAAAATCTTTCTAAAGGTTATCTCTATGGCATAGATCCTGTTTATACCTCTTAATAATTCCAACGTCTCCGTGCGTAAGCAATGCTTCAACGAACATTTTGTGTGGTGTCTCTTTCTTCTTAATAGTATTTTCTTAGGATAAACTTGTAGAAGCAGAGTGAGTCCCGAAGGGTCAGAGAAGTCTGGGTGGTTGAAATGTTCCTGCCACATTGCTTTCTCGGAGTGAAATGCACCAGGGTGCTGGTTTCACCACGTATTCCCCAGCGTTGCTTGTTACTATTTTTGTCCATATTTTTCTTTTTTTCTTATTGTGGTAAAATGTATATAAACTTACCATCTGAACCACTTTTAAATGCACGGTTCTGTGGCATTAAGCATATTTCTACTGTTGTGCAGCCATCACCACCATCCCTCTCCAGAACGTTCATCCACTTTTTGATGGAGTTTTAAATACTGGCGGGAAGAAACGGGCCTGGGGCTGGGTGGGACTGAGGATTGGGGCTTCCAGGGGCATATTTGGTGGCAGGGCGGGCCGCCTAGCAGGAGGGCTGAGTCCCATGGTCTTGGCAGCTGCTGACCCCTGAGGACTACCAGCGGTTTCTGGACCTGGGCGTCTCCATCGCCGAGAACCGCAGCGCCTTCAGCTACCACTGCAAGACCCCCGACTGCAAGGGCTGGTGCTTCTTTGAGGATGACGTCAATGAGTTCACCTGCCCCGTGTGTTTCCGCGTCAACTGCCTGCTCTGCAAGGTGGGATGAGGGGCCACAGCTGGGGGAGAGGTGGTTTAGGGTCTGTGTCCATCAGGACTTAACAGAAATGGGTAAATATTATCATACATGCCGACCCCGGCTTCACCTCCCTGGCTTCAGTGTCTTCCGTAAAGTGCGTGTGTGGTTTATCACGTGAGGCCCGGTCGGTGACAACACCTAGAGGCATTACGTACTGTGTGGGCGCCCGCTGTCCCCCACCTCTCCCAGCTTCCCAGCGGGAGCCTCCTCATCTCGAGCCCCCCACTCCCTGCAGGCCATCCACGAGCAGATGAACTGCAGGGAGTACCAGGACGACCTGGCCCTGCGGGCTCAGAACGACGTAGCTGCCCGGCAGACGACGGAGATGCTGAGGGTGAGGCTGGGAGGGGCTGAGGGCCTGGGGTTTGAGTTTTGGGAGCTGGAAGGGCTGTGGTGTATGGGCCCTGGGGGCTCTGGCCCGCTCTGGCCTCACTGCCACCCAGAGCTGGGGCTTGGGATAGGTGCTCAGCAGCGGGACAAGTGTCCGGGTGGAGGCGAGACGGCAGAGACAGGGAGCCTGGGAGAGAGATCCACTCCAGCGGAGTCGGGTTTTCCTCTGTCGTCGGGAGGGCCACTGCCCGCCTGGCCCCAATGTCAGCCCCTGCTCTGCCCCAGTCCATGCTGCAGCAGGGCGAGGCCATGCACTGCCCGCAGTGCCAGATCGTGGTTCAGAAGAAGGACGGCTGTGACTGGATCCGCTGCACTGTCTGCCAGACCGAGATCTGCTGGGTCACCAAGGGCCCGCGCTGGGGCCCCGGGGTGAGTCCTTAGGGAGCAGGGGCTCAGGAGAGGTGGGGAGGGGGCCCTCGCCCAGGAGTGGGGATGGGAAAACTACAGCCCCATCCAGTCCCCGCCTGTATTTGTGCAGCCTGTGAAGTAAGAACATTTTTTACTTTTTAAATGGTTAAAAAATATCAAAAGAATATTTTGTGACATGAAAATCACAGGAATCTGATTTTTTTGGTCCATAAGTGACGTTTTAGGGGAGCACAGCCTGCTTATTCTTTCACGTAGTCTGCGGCGGCTTTTATGCTCCGAAGGCAGACTGTGTGGCCTGCAAGGCCGGAAATAACGGTCTGGCTCTTCAGAGAAAAGAGTCGCAGCCGTTGGCCTAGAGGACAGTGGGGGGCTCAGTGTGGAGTCCGCGGGGGCGTGGGTCCGCAGCTCTGGCACACGCGGCTGTGTGGGTTAGGCTGTTACTGCCTTCTCTGAGCCTCAGTTTCTTCATCTGGAAAATGGAGGTGATAGCTGGGCCTGTCTCACTTAGCTTATTGTCAGAATCAAATGAAAAAGTGTAGAAACGGGCGTAGTGGATGCCTGTCATGTGAGTGCTTTGTATGTGGTAGCTCTCAAATTAGGGTGTGTTGCTGGGATTGGGGATCGTTGTCACAGACGGGCTTTGAGATGTGGAGGCGGAGGAGCAGCCCTTGGTGCTGCCCATGTGCTCACCTTCCAGAATGTGCAGATACACCAGCTCCGTCCCTGCTCTGGGTCTCGGGGAGGCAGAGCGAGGCCATGGAACTGGGGGCCCAGAAAGGCCCTTGTGATGGCCTCCATCAGGCTGCTGAGGCCGGGGGCCGGTTTAGAAGCAGGGCCTGGAGTGGACTGGGTTTTGGCTGATGGAGTATCATGGGGCCACTGTTTGCCCTGCCCTGACCTCTCCCCTCATTCTGTAGGGCCCTGGAGACACCAGCGGGGGCTGCCGTTGCCGGGTGAACGGGGTTCCTTGCCACCCCAGCTGTCAGAACTGTCACTGAGCTGAAGATGGCCCAGTCCCCACGCCGACCCAGCCCCACCCCACAGTTGCTGCGGGACCGGGCAGGGGCTTTGGCTCTGAATTCCGGCCGGGGAGATGCCTTTACGCTTGGCCGAGAAGGACCCAGTGGAGCCGAGGCCTCGGAGCTGCCTGGCGGCCTTGTTTGTGTGGGTGTTGCAGGGCCCCACCTGGGCCGGCTGTTGTCCTTAGCGCCTCTGCCCCAGTGCCTTTGCCTTCCCCTGGGGCTTGCTGGCCAGACCTTTCATCTCTTCTTTGTGCTCCCACCTCTGCCTGGCGCAGCCTTACACAGCCCTGGCCATAGGCCTTGCTGGGTAGAGCCTCTGAGAGCCCGTGTGAGTCCATACATCCCCACCCGCCCCACCACCTCGTCTCCTCAACACCGCGCACTCAGAGCCCGCCACTTCCCGTCGGCTCTCTGCGCTGACTTTTCTCTGGCTTTGCTGTTGGAGGCCTGGGGCCTTTTAGAACTGCTGCTAATCCTGTTCAGAGCCAGGAGGGAGACCGAGCAGTTTCTAAAGCACAGCTCCTCTGGTCCAGCTTCCACGTCTCCCTCTTTGTAAGCTCATTAAAATGGTTTTCCAGGAAGGGATGAGTGTGATGTCTGAGGGAGCGAGAGGGACATGGGCTGGGACTCTGAGTAGCAGGATCCCAGGCGCTCCGGGAATGGCGGCAGGACGTGTACGTATGAGCCGCCTGGCATCCCTGGGCCCAGCTGGAGCGGGTAGGATGCTCTTGAGTTTGCAGTGTGTGAGAGGCCACAAAGCAGGTTCTGCAGATCGGTGTGGGCTTGAGGGGCAGGAAGGGGCTGAGCAGCAGGTACAGGCTGGCAGGAAAGCCTTGCTGCTCCCTCTGCCGCTCAGTGGGCATCCAAGGTCGGGGAACAAACATTTCAGGATCAGGTAAAACTGCTGCAATTCAAGATCAGGTAAAACTGTCCATCCTAATTTTAGCATCTCAGGTAAAAATGTTACAGAATTGGTCCAGCCTATTTACCAGTCTCCTTTTTGTGTTGGTCAGGGATTAATAAAAAACATTCTGGGTGTTCATTCTGTAAGTTTTACTGCATTCTCGGACCCACTCCCTTCCCATGAGACCTGGTATTTGATGGCCAACATGTCTGAGCTGTGCTGTGGGTCATCAAAGAGGCAGAGCGTGTCTCTGCTGTTCAGGGCCTAGACGCCAGGCTCCGGAAGTTGGGGCATGTGGTTTCGGGGCAGTGAGCTTATTCTAACCGCTGGAAACGCAATGCCACCCTGTCCTTGGAGGCCAGGACTGGAGTTGACCACAGGCACTGAGCAGAGCTATCAGAGGACATGAATGCCTTCCTGCTTTGCCAGTGCTGGCTCACAGCAGCTGGGGTAGCTCAAGGGCACGCTCGGGCAGCCTCCCACTCTGAGCAAGACACAGGCATAGCCACTGACCTGGAGGGCACAGCAGTTGAGACCTGGACCACAGGAATAAGATGGGGCCCAGATCAGGGCAGAGTACCCTCTTACCACCTCCTTCCTCCCTCTCCTGTCAGGTCCGTCTTAGCATCCCTTAGGCAGGGATGGAACCTTTTTTCTGCCAAGGGTCATTTGGATACAACACCCTTCATGGGCCATACAAAATTAGCAACTTAAAAAGTAGGCTGCTAGCACCGCCGGTGTGGCTCAGTGGTTGAGTATTGACCTATGAACTAGGAGGACACTGTTTGATTTCTGGTCAGGGCATATGCCTGGGTGGCAGGCTCAATCCCCAGTGGTGGTGGTGGTGGGAGGGGGGCATGCAGAAGGCAGCCGATTGATAACTCAATGATATTTCTATCTCTTCCTCTTCCTCTCTGAAATCAATAAAAATAAGTTTTCAAAAAATTAGCCTGCTGTATTTGGTCAAACATTTAATTAACTCACCCCTAATGCCTTGGCAGGGCCAGACCAAATGATTTTGAGGGCTGGACGTCCCCCCACCTCTGCCTTAGGGGCTGGGGCACAAGAGAAAAGCAGACCATTCTCTTGGTTCAGAGGATGCAACTGCCACAGGTCTTTTCAATGCCCTGCCTTTCCTTCCCCCATAAATGTTAAGAGGTGTTGTAGTACTTACCTGTGGCTGCATCAAAATAAGGACAAGACAGGCACAGGGGGCTTTGTTGGCTACGTCTCTCGCTCGGCCCACTCCATCCACGCCAGCACGGACAGGGAATGAGTCTGCTGCAGCCAAAATGGGGCAGCCCCAGGGTTCTAGCCTCCAGTGCCACACTCAATGTACCAGGGGGTGAGGTTCACAAGTGCTCTCTCTGGCAGGGTCAAGGGGAAGTGCCATCCTCTCCCAAGGGGCCACCCCAGGCCCGGGCCCCAGCTCTTGAGAATCCATCGCCAACTGGCCAGAGCAGACTTGAAAACAAGCCCCAGGAGCTTTAGACTTAAATTACCTCCCCAAGGAAGGAGCAGGAGGCCCCAAATATATTTGTGTGACAGTCTTTGTCTCCCGGACAGGAAAAGGCAAGTGGAAGCCCGCTGCTCCGATAAAGAGCTGCTGCTGATAGGGGCAGGGAGTGGAGGACGTGCCACAGCCCATGTCAGAGCTGCACGTGTCTTCCTCTAGTGTGGGGCTGGCATAAAAGCCATTCGCTCAAAAGCCGGAAGCTGGAGGCAGGCCCACAGCCTTGCTGGCTCACAAAGGCTCCTGGGCAAATTCCAACCATATGCAAGTCTGGGGAAATACTGCTAGCAAGTTGAGGGCCTTTGTGAAGACAGGAACAAAGGCAGCAGAGCCACAGAAAACACGAAGGACAGCAGGGCAGGGAAAGGACAGTCAGGCTGAGCCTCAGGCCCACCATCTCTTGGTTCGATTTGGCAAAAGCCTTTGGCCTATTCCTTTTAGTCACCACTTCATCTCTGAATGAACATGGGTCCCCTGCGCAGGGCTGGCTAAAGGCATTGATTCTTAAACTGTTCACCAAAATGGAATCAAAACACTGGCCTGACCTCACAGTTTGTAAAGCATTTTCCCAAACATCGTTTCATTACCGTCCATGTGAGATGGGACTATCCCTATTTTACTGTTGTTAATGAGTCTCACAGATGTTGAACTTGGAGCAGCTCAAACTGCCATGAAGTAACACACTTGCCATGATGCTACCAATAATTCTCTCTGGACCCAGTTTTGGGCCCATCCTCACCCCCAAATCACCTAGAGCAGTGGTCGGCAAACTGCGGCTCGTGAGCCACATGCGGCTCTTTGGCCCCTTGAGTGTGGCTCTTCCACAAAATACCGACTTCTGTGCATGGGCCACGAAGTTTCAATCGCACTGAGGCTTAGGAAGAGCCACACTCAAGGGGCCAAAGAGCCGCATGTGGCTTGCGAGCTGCAGTTTGCCGACCACGGACCTAGAGTCCCACTCTCCTCCACAGCTCAAAGTTGTCCCAGACCTGAACCCTAAGGACCTGCCCCTGCCACTGCCCTTTCCATCCACAGACCCCAAACTCCGGTCCTCTTGGGCTCTGCTGTCTACAGACCCACACACTTCACACAGCTGTTATTTTCATACTTCTTTTCCCTCAGCCTTGCACTTCTCCAATCCTCCAGCACCAATGGGTGTCCAATTCAGTCCTGACACTACCAGGTTAACGTCAGACCCCACAAATTATAGGGCTCAGTCCCACAAGACTCCCCCACTTCAGATGCCAACCGCAAACGGTGCCCAGGCTACCCACACTTCTTCCTGGCCAACTTCAAATTCAGGGGTTCCTACCACTCCCCCCTCAGATTCAATCATTTGCTAGTAGGGCTCACAGAACTCAGGAAAACACGTGTTTACCGATTTTTAATAAAGAATATAACTCAGAATGGTTCAATGGGAGAAATGAGAATGTATGGGGAGAGGGTTTATGTTGGAAAATGCAGACCCTCCCAGCATTTTGATGCGTTCACCAACCCAGCAGCTCCTAGAATGAATCAAAGTTGTGGAGTTCTATCTCCAGCCTTTCCTCTCCTCCTAGGAGGCCAGGGGATGGGGCCAAAAGTCCCCACTCATCAGTTTGGCCTTTCGGGGACCTGCCCCATTCTGAGAACATATAGCAGTCCCACTGTGAGCCATCTTATTAGCATAAACTCAGGTGGGACTGCAAGGGAATCATGAAGCACAAAAGATACTCCTATCAGGAAATTCCAAGAATTTTAGGGAAACAGAAAAAACACAAATATTTCTCATACAATGGACACCTTTCCTTCAATGTTCCCATTTTCAAAATTCTACTTTTTACACTCAATTCCCATGAAACTGCCACTGAATCTGCCACCCAAACTGTTCCTTCAATGCAACTCCGGTGTGAGCTCCCAGAGGCCACAGGGTCCTGACCTGTGTCCCAGCTCTGCATTCTCCGCGTCAGGTCGGAGGGCAGCATGGGCAGCTGGCTACAGTGCTGGGACAAGGTCAGGGGGCTTGATGCTGTTCAGCCTCGGGCACTCTCCCCTCCCCCCATCTGGGACAGGGAAATATTAACAAACATCAATAAACATCCCAGATGACATGGATTCTTGCCTGTGATCGGCCCATCCACAGGATGGTGGCAACAGGCACTTGGCAACTGTTCTGGTTCCCAATACTCAACTGCTGGGAGTGTCATGTTGGAAAAGCTTGGCAAGAAAAAGCGCTCACAGCTCCTCTGGGACAGGAATTACACGTGGAGGCAAAGTTATGTCCACTAGGCTCTGGTTAGGTTCCAAACCCGAGTGTCAGCCTTTGGAAACGAGGGCATCCCAGATCAGTGTGAAAAAGTCAGGATTGCCCAGCTCACACCCCACACCACTTCTGCTGCTTGCTAACCAGGGGCACCTAGCCGTAGCCGGAGTGTGCAGATCATCCTCATTGCAGGTGAAATAGAAAGAGGACTTGCAGGTATCATCCCAGATCTCCAGGCAACTCAAGGCTGACCAGGAGTCCGGAGACCAGAGCACAGTCCCTGGCCGGGGTGGAAGGCAGGGAGCATCAAGCCATTTGTCTAAGACCAGAGTCTACTCCTACCAAGTGGCAGACAGGACAGAGGACAGAGAGATTAGTAACCACATATGGCTGTGTATTTCATACATGGCTCTGTACAGAGTATTTACAGATATTCTTTACAGAATAGTAAACCACCTGAAGGTAAAAAGATAATGGTTTCTTCTCATCGACAAGGTGAATCCTGATGTCAGCAAAGCTTATCACATAAATGAACTTGTTCCTTCTTAGGCCACAACTGAAGCAAATGCCACTTGCTTCCTGGGTTCCAAAAAGCTGTGGCGTGGGACCCTGATCGTGTGCACCTCCTTCCCTCTCCCCATCAATTCCTTCAGTATTACAGACAGGCCCGAGTGCTGTGGCAGGAGGTGCTGCTGCTGCTGTCCATTTGTAACAAGAGGACAAACTTGCTGAGGGAGAAGACTGGGAGTATCTGTCACATCATCACCTCTGGATCCTGAATTTCCTTTGTCTTGACGTATCTTCCACTTTCTGGATTAATCCATCCACACCACACTCACCCCAGGTGGGACTCCTGCTATGGAGAATGACCCATCACTGAGCTTTTTTGGTTCTAAAGTGCTGAGCGTAACTTAGTCTAGACGCCTCTCATAATGTCTCTGGGCTTGCCAGCTGCCTGGCACGCTGCATGCCCTCCACTCTGCACACAGGGCACACGGGAAGGAGGGGCGGTCTGAGCAGAATGGCCAGAGTGCTTCTGGCATGTTCACATTAAAACACTTGTCGAGACAGAACAGTGCTGGAGAGACCATGAAAGTACAAGTGCATGGCTGCTTCACACTATACACCCCGATTCTCTAAAGCAAAAGGCACTTTTTTCCAAGCCGGAGCTTGTCTAAAACAGCTGGCGTGGCTCACAGGAAAAGCTGTCCAGGGCTGCTCCCTCAGGCCACAGCAAGGAGCGGCCTGTTCCGGCTCCTGCCGCCCTTCAGGCTGCAGCCTGTCCCTTTCTGGGTGCTGAACGTCTCCAGTTCCAACCGGGAAGGAGAGACCGCAGTGAAGGAGATAAGTCAAACCCCAAAACGAAGCCATGGTAGTGAGTCGGTGCCTGTTTGGACTGGACGGGTGATCCGAGGGAAACGGGAAAGGGAGACACAAGGCGGGCACTTTGGGAGTGTGGGCCAGTTTCCAAACAGCAGCTCATCCTTCCGATGGGAACTATTTTTTTCCAAGAAGGAACTATTATTTTTAAAGCGAGGCTGCTTTATATATTGGGTATTACATAATTCTAAAAATAGTAATAAAAGTATCTTTTTTAAAGCAACTTTGTGTGGCTTGTGGAAGAGAATAGGTGGGAAAAAAAAAGGCAGACAAGTCAGGCTGGGTGGTTCAGTTGGAGCATCATCCCGTGCACCAAAGGGGTTACAGATCCGATTCCCGGTCAGGGCACACACCTAGGTTGCGGGTTTGATCCCCAGTCAAGGCGAGTGAGGGAGGCAACCTATTGATGTTTCTCTCACATTGATGTTTCACTCTTTCTCCATTCCTCTCTCCCTAGAGTCAAGGAACATCCTCAGAGTGAGGACTAAAAATAAAAAAGCGCTGCCTTAGCTGGTCTGGCTCAGTAGACAGAGCATCAGCCTGCAGACCCGAGGGTCCCGGGCTCCATTCCAATCAAGGGCACGTACCTTGGTTGCGGGCTGCTCCCCAGCCCGGGCCCTGGTCAGGGCACATGCAGGAGGCAGCCAAGCGATGTGTGTTTCTCTCACATCGATATTTCTCTGTCTTTCCCTCTCTTCCACTCTCTCTAAAAATCAATGGGAAAATATCCTCGGGTGAGG